CCAGCGGCACCCGCCCCGGCGCCCCCCTCGGCCCCAGCGCCCATCTTGGGGACGCCAACCCCATCTTGGGGACCCCAGCGCCCATCTCCATGACCCCAGCACCCATCTCCATGACCCCAACCCCATCTTGGGGACCCCAGAGCCCATCTCCATGACCCCAGCACCCATCTCCATGACCCCAACCCCATCTTGGGGACCCCAGAGCCCATCTCCATGACCCCAGCACCCATCTCCATGACCCCAACCCCATCTTGGGGACCCCAGAGCCCATCTCCATGACCCCAGCACCCATCTCCATGACCCCAACCCCATCTTGGGGACCCCAGAGCCCATCTCCATGACCCCAGCACCCATCTCCATGACCCCAACCCCATCTTGGGGACCCCAGAGCCCATCTCCATGACCCCAGCACCCATCTCCATGACCCCAGCACCCATCTCGGGGACCCCAGTGCTCCCATACCCAACGACCATGACCCCAGCACCCATCTCCATGATCCTGGTGCTCACATAGCCAACAACCATGACCCCAACGCCCATCTTGGGGACCCCAACGCCCATCTTGGGGACCCCAACGCCCATCTCCATGTCCCTGGTGCTCCCATACCCAATGACCATGACGGCAGCACCCATCTTGGGGACCCCAGCGCCCATCTTGGGGACCCCAGCGCTCCCATACCCAATGACCATGACCCCAGCGCCCATCTTGGGGACCCCAGCACCCATCTTGGGGACCCCAGCACCCGTCTTGGGGACCCCGGTGCTCCCATACCCAATGACCATGACCCCAGCACCCATCTCCATGACCCCAACACCCATCTTGGGGACCCCAGCGCCCATCTCCATGACCCCAACACCCATCTCCATGTCCCTGGTGCTCCCATAGCCAACGACCATGACCTCAGTGACCATCTCCATGACCCCAGCACTCATCTCCATGACTCCAGTGCTCCCATACCCAACAACCGTGACCCCAGCGCCCATCTCCATGACCCCAACACCCATCTCCATGTCCCTGGTGCTCCCATAGCCAACGACCATGACCCCAGTGCCCATCTCCATGACCCCAACGCCAACACACCCAACGCCCTTGACCTCAACACCCATCTCCATGACCCCAACACCAACGTACCCAACGCCCTTGACCCCAGAACCCATCTCCATGACCCCAACGCCAACGTACCCAACGCCCTTGACCCCAGCACCCATCCCCATGTCCCCAACGCCAACGTACCCAACGCCCTTGACCCCAGCACCCATCCCCATGACCCCAACGCCAACGTACCCAACGCCCTTGACCCCAGAACCCATCTCCATGACCCCAACGCCAACGCACCCAACGCCCTTGACCCCAGCACCCATCCCCATGACCCCAACGCCAACACACCCAACGCCCTGACCCCAGCACCCGGCCCCAGGTCCCCCGCGCCCACCGCCCCGCCCCGCCCTGGGCAGGATATCCGTGTGG